CCCCCCACACACACACACATACGCACACAACCAATCAGTTTGTCTTATCTGGTGTGTCCACGGTGTTGTAAACCATAAAAAAGAAGAGATGAAATTGCTTTCCACTTTGATCTGCTGTCGCCCAAAGACTCGATATATGTGCAAGTGTCATCAGATCAGGATTCGCGTCATCTGAAGGATCTGCATCTCTTCATGCCACTTTCAGCTATCATGACATTTGCTACAAGTTCAAGCACTGATAATCTTAGTCTATTTCCGGGCTCTCATTTTCTTTTTTTCCGCCGACATAGATCGATCGATGAGCTCAAACATGTATTTTACCCGCAATCACAGCTCTCTCTTCCCTCTTCTCAAAAGCTCCATTTTTCATCAGTGCCATTAACGAAAATCATTGAATTGTCACCAAAGTTAGGGTTGATCAATCTTATACTTTCTTTTCACTGCATGCTTTGTACACAGTTTGGTTTTGGTGTTTAGCTGTATTTCAGTTCTAGTCTTTTTGTTTTCTTTAAGAATTGTCATTTTCTCTCTCTTTTTGTGATTGCTCTTATTTGAGATTTTTAAATTTTCTCGTTTTCCCCTTTTCTTTTGCAGTTGTTATCCTTTCTCCTGTTTTTTTTTCTCCTCATATAGCTGGGGTTTTGATCTCTCTTCTTTCTCCTTGTTCAAATTTCCTTGGATATTGTCTTGCTTTTGGCCACTTTCAGGTCAAACCACTGAGCACTGAGCATTGCCTTCCCCATGGCCGTGCCCGGCCGCGCTTGGAGAGACGAGGAAATTGCCTTTACTTCAGGATGGCCACGCACGTTTCCCCGCTGAAAATGATTCAATCAATACACTCCGAGCAAAAGTATGAAACATAATATAGAGTTTGCAGAGTTATTAATCATTTTTGCACTATTGCCGTTTAGAAATCTTCCCAAATCAAAAAGACAGATTGGGTCTAATAACAGATGCCGAAAACTGACGCATTATTTAATTCTTTGCGGAGGAGTGAAGAATACATCATGTAGTAGGCCAAGACGGAATTTATGTGAAAGGATCGTAAAAGAGCAGACCTGTGAAGCATCAGATATATATATATATAGAAATTGGCTGTGGTCAGGTTTGGCCACCTTTGGTTTATTTACGTTATATTCTTATCTTGTACAATTTCTATCTTACATTCACAACGTGTAAATGAATTAATCAATATACAATAAATAAATAAACTAACTAATTAATAGGCATATAATAATAATAATAATAATAATAATAATAATAATAATAATAATAATAATAATAATAATAATAAAATAATATTAATAATAATAATAATAATAATAATAATAATAATAATAATAATAATAATAATAATAATAATAATAATAAAAAATAATAATTGATAACAATAATAATAATGATAATAAAAATAATTTAAAAAAATAAATAATAATAACAATTGTTTGGCCTATTGTCTGTTTGAAGGTCATGAACTATCGGTGTTTTAATGTGTTGTTGTTTATCATTTGAAAGACGATTTGTAGCAGACAAAAATATTAATAAAAAGATATTATCTAGTTTTTCAGCTTTTACTGTGCATGCAGTGTTAGGTTCTAAGGTCCATCGATTGACCACAATTTCCCATCTGACATTCCGACGTCGGTTGAGCAGCCCAGGTTCGATTCCCGTGAGGGGAGAATTATTTAATTTTTTTTGATCGGTGTATCCCAGTCTTTCTCAGCCCGGGTTTGCCCTGACAGGCAGAGTCGAAAGTCCGCCTCTTATAAATGATCTAAGTTGCGTCGATGGGAGCGTAAAAACACATTAAAAAATACTTGACATATCAAGAGCTCAGATTTGTACATGTACTACGTGAATAAATAAACGGAACCGGACACATTCACGCTTGGCCTTTGTCTGAATAGAAAGATTGACGGAGACTGAAGAAAAAATATCGATTGAAATGCCAAGGAAATGTAGTTGGCTTTAAATGATAACAAGATCCCCCCCCCCCCCCCCCCCCCCCCTCCCAAAAAAAAATTTTTCTAATTTGGGTTAATAATTTTTGTCTAATTTCCGGGCGGGCCCAAAGGGGATCAAAAACAACCCTTTAAAATAGATGCAACTGTAGAAAAAAAAAAACCACTCCCACAACAAAAAGCCCCCCCCCCCCCCACACACACACACAAACCCCCCCCCCCCCCAACCACACAAATATTCAACAACAACAACAACAACAACAAACAAAAACAAAAAACATAACGAAACAAAACAAACTGGTCACATTTTAAACATGAAAATTTAAATGGCGAAGTTTCACTGACACCAATCGAAAGTTTTCACTGATTGGCTTTCGTTGCAATGCATAATAATAATAATTAATACTACTACTACTACTACTACTACTAAAAAACAATTATATATATATATATCTCTTCATCTCTTGTAGGACTACTACTTAGGAACTCCTTCCCGCTTCATACAAGGTGCGAACATTCAACGACGCAATCCGGAGAGACTTTTCCCTTTCGGCTTTGTCCGCTGTCCTTCATTGTTCCTGCTGATGCAGAAGCTCCTCCGTCTCCATAAATAATAACACATGTATACATGTATAATATATATCTATATCTATATATTATGTAGGCTATAACTTTTATTTTCTTATTTCATTTTTTAAAACAATAGGTTCATGTAGTAGACCTAGTTATTTTTTCAATATATTTTTATGATTGATCGTTGCTTTGGATTTTGTTTCATTTACTCATTTATTCATTTATTTATTAATTCATTCATTTGTTTATTTATGTATTTATTTATTTAATAGTTTTTAGAGTCCACAAAGAACTACTTGTAATGAAAAGAACCAAACGTTTCAAGTTAAATGAATTTGCTACTAGGTAGGTCATTTTTTTGAGTCGTAAACAACTTCGTAACATACTGGTTAGAAGGGGGGGGGGGTTGTTTTTAATTCTTACGTCTGAACGTTTGGTTGGATGTAGTTGGAATATGTCCAGACCAAACCCGAAAAAAATGTAAAGTGAAATGGTAACGCGCAAACTACCCCCCCCCCCCTTTTCCTCTTTCCCCCTTTTTTTCGTCCCTCTCATTTCCTCGCTTCCTTACTCTCTTAATTCAATCGTTCTCTTTATATCCCCACCTCCCCCTTTTTTCACCCCTTCGTTCAGACGGACAGACGGACAGGCTGGCATCCAAGCGCGTCCCTCATTCACGTCTGCAGCTCAAGCGAGTGGTTGCAAGCATGAAGGACAACGTCTTTTCTTTCCTTTTTTTTCTCCCTCTCTTTCTTTTTCTTTGTCGATTCTTCTATTTACTTGCTCCTCTCTCTCATCTTCCACTTTTGGGGCGTCCCTTGTTATCTTTTCCTTCAGCGCGTCTTCACGCATGAGCGGGTCGGGAACATACCACGAGAGGGTCATTACATTTGTCTGTTTCCCTTGTATTTTATTGTTGTTGATGTTGTCGTTGTTGTTGTTGTTGTTGCTGTTTTTGTTGTTGTTGTTGTTGCTGTTGTTGTTGTTGTTGCTGTTGTTGTTGCTGTTGTTGTTGTTGTTGCTGTTGTTGTTGCTGTTGTTGTTGCTGTTGTTGTTGTAATTGTTATTGTAATAG